TCTGGACAGTGCTGATTGGCCCTGTGCTGATCACATGCACTCCTCCAAGAAAAAAAAACCTATCTAGCAATGCACACCAAACTGAGCGCGTGCAGCTTGCCCCAAGGCTCTGTTCTATCAGGAAAAGGATTAGGGACATTAGAAGAAGGATCAAACAGCCTTTTTACACAATGCATAGGATTAACCCCTTAGGATCCACAGTGAGTATAACAAGCATGCTTTACTGCATATACAACAGCATCATAAATATATGCAGAGCTAAAAATCAAATGACACATAAAGTATAAGCAGATATATTTGCGCTGTAAGGCGCTATTGTTATATTCAAGTGCAATGAACGTCTGTGGACGTTTAATTGTGTAGGTGGGGAACTTTAATAATATAGTAATATAAATAAGCACATAAGTCCCAAAATCTATATAGAAGTGAAAGACGTGACTCCAGTGATGTAAAATGAGTGTACATTGCACTAACCAGATAGCGCAATAATATGCGCATTTGAGTACTTAAACCACTCCTGGTCCTCTGGGTATAGAAAGATGAACATCCATTGAAGTCTATAGAACCAAACATGCAACGTTTTGCGTTCATAAAAGTCCCTGACCCATTCCAAAAAACACACCGGGTGAAAATGCGGAGATGTTAACGTGTCCCATCATGTTAAATGGACTGTAATGTGTTTCTGCAAAATGCAAAACATGGCAGAAAACACTTAGGTGTGAACGCAGGGCTACACTGACCTTTATGTGTGTACACATATTTGCATACACATTCTGTCCTCAATCTCTCTGTGCGCTGAAAGAGAATTGGTCTTAATTAGTTCCAGTTATGCAAGAGTCAAACTGCCGTTATTTCATTTTGGATTTGGCGCAATTAATGCGACAAAAAGAAAAAGAATCGCAAATAAGGACTAGCTGAATGTGGCACGCAACTTGCAGATAGGACGAAAAGTGGCTTAAATGGGTTTTGAATTCAGCACAATGCAATAACAATGGATATTAAAAGAGGCACAGGACCTTTATGGAAGTCCATTGTCGTGTGTATTCTTCCCTGAATCTTGATGTGCTTTGTGTATTGCATTGTTTCCAGATTTGTGCAGTAATCCAGTGTGAAACTGTCCAGGCGCTCCCTGTAATAAAGACCAATCACTGTTGTTCTCTATCTTTCTGCAGGGTGACTGGTCTTGTGTCTGCCCTCTCCTGTAGTTTTTTTATAGGCAGCCTGTAGTGGGTGAGGCCTGCTGGGTCCCTCCCTCCTACAGCTCTTCTCTGACCAGGCTATATACAACTTGGGGCTCATTCACACTTGACTTTATTTCTAACTCTTGCCAAACACCACTATAGCGTTTGACAGGCATTTGGGAAGCATTTTTAATGCTCCTAAACCGCTCCCCAAACACCCTATGTGCGGTTTTGAGGAGGTTGATAGGCGTTTGCCAAGTGTTAAAACCGCACCACAAATGCCTATAATGAAGTTAAATGGTATTAACACTCCGCAACCGCCTCGCAAACGACTCGCAACCCGCAAACGCCTGCTAGGTGTTTGTGGAGCGGCACCATAGACTTGAATGGGAGGCTTCAACTCCTCCTGACTTGACAGGAGGCGTCAGTTTTGCCGTGATGCTAACGCTTCAGTGTGCTGCCATGTGCAGAATTTTCAAAGTCATTTGAGAAGCGTTAAAAATGCTTCCCAAACGCCTGTCTGATGCCTGCTGACAGAACTAGTGTGAACTGAGCCTTACAGTGAAGATATCACTGCTACATTTGCAAGGGTTCGCAAAGGCATTTGGTGCACACACACTAAATGTATATCCTTTGTGGCTATTGATGAATATATTTGACCACTTGACAACCGGGCTATAGCTGAACGACATTTACAGCGTGGTTGTCGTCATATGACGTCCTCCCATAACGCACCCCCAGCAGCACGCACCCAGCGCTGTCTGTGATCGCTGTGTTCTACGGACACAGCTGATCACATGACAAGGTAAGAAGCCAATCACATCGGTTGGGCAATCACAGCAGTGCCACCCATCAGCGCCCAGCAGTGTTGCCCGTCCGTGCTGTCAGTCAGTGCCACCAGTCAGTACCCATCAGTGCCACCTATCAGTGCCCATCAGTTCCACCTATCAATTCCCACCAGTGCTGCCTCATCAGTGCAGCCTATCAGTGCCCATGAGTGCTGCCTATCAAAGAAAAACTTTTTTTTTCAAATTGTTTACTCTTTTTTTGTTTATAGTGCAAAACATAAAACACCTAGTGGCGATTAAATACCACCTAAAGAAAGCTCTATTTGTGTGAAAAATAAAATAACAACTTCATATGGGTACAGTGTTGCATGACTGCGCAATTGTCATTCAAAGTGTGACAGCGCTGAAAGCTGAAAATTGGCCTGGGCAGGAGGGGGTAAAAGTGCCCAGTAGGCAAGTGGTTAAATGAAGCTTTAGTAAATCCATATGGTCAACTTCTCCATTATAAAGCCAAATGCAGGTGTCACATTACCCCAGTGGATACTCCTGATTTTAAAGCAAAAAAAAAAAAAATTCTGGGTCTCCCCACTGTAAGAGTAACTTCCCCACTATATTCTGGTGAGAGGGTGTGGAGACCTAAACTGCTAGAATAATATATTCCCACTGGATGTGGTTCAGTGTCAGACACTAACTCATACAGTACTAGTAAGCAATTTTAACGTTTTTTTGATTTAGTTCCCGGTCACACTAGTGCGATTTCAGGTGCGATTTGTGAATTGAAATGGCATCTGATGAATGTGAATGTCAGTGACTTAACATGTGCGATTTGCTGCAGCGCGATTCCTAAAGTAGTTCTTGCATCACTTTTTCTGCAGTTTTGTTGCAATTTCACATACATGAAATATAATGGAAATCTCACTGCAAATTGTAAGAAATCATTGAAAATCAAGTAGCCATAAAGTCTTCAGAAATGGCACCTGAATTTGTACTGAAATTGCACACAAATCACACGATTTTACATCACAGGGGTGTGACCGGTGACTTAAAGAGCAATTTCCTTAACAAGGGAGATCAGTTAGTGAGCTATGAATTCTGTCCAGTAAATACAGCAACTGTGCCTAATAATGACATTTCACTATGTTTATCATGAACTCTCAGTAGAGATGTGCATGACAGAAAAATATGTGTTGTTTCTTTTTGGATTTGTTTGTTAAGCTAATAATTTGTTTCACCATGTTTGTTATGTTAGATCAATTTGTTTTGAGAATTCATTCCATACATTCGGAGTCGTTTCATATATTTGTTATTTTCAAATCCATTTTCATCAGTTTTATTCTATTCTATTGTATTCTAATCTATTCTATTTTTCTATTGTATTCTATTCTATTCTACTCTATTCTATTCTTTTATTTTCTCTTCTATTATGTTCAATTCAGTTATACTGTATCTTATTCCTTTTTCTATTCTGTTCTGTTATGTTATATTCTATTATATTGTATTCTGTTATATTCTATTCCTTTATCTTCTATTCTACTCTGTTTATTCTGTTGTTTTCTATTCTATTCCATTCCTTTATTTTCTATTCTATTCTGTTTTATTCTATTCTTTTATACTCTATTCTTTTCTATGCTTTTTTATTCTATTATATTCTTTTCTATTTTATTTCTTTATTTTCTATTCGGTTTTATTCTATTCTAACCTTTTACATGCTATTCTATCATGTCTTATTCTATTATATGTTATTCTATTATTTTATTTTTTATTCTTTTCTATTCTATTCTATTATTTTATTTTCTATTATATTTCTTTTATATTCTATTAGATTTTATTATTTTATATTCTATTCTAATCTATTCTGTTTTATTCTATTTTATTCTTATTCTATCTTTTTAAATTCTATTCTGTTCTATTCTGTTTTATTCTATTATTTTCTATTCTTTTCTATTCTATTCTATAAAGCAGGCTGAGTTGGAAGCATCATCTTATTTTACTTTTATACCTTACTGTATTTATTGCAAAATAGAAATTCTTTATTATTTTGCCTTGGAAATTAGGATAAATCCCAGTCTCTAAATAATGAAAACTTTGTCCAAATTTCGATTCATAACGAATTGCACATTTCTAACTCTCAGTTCTCTGTTATAACCCTGCAGAATAAGCACACACAACCCCACCAAAGGTTTTTGTGATGTATTTCCTGAAGTATGGGCTGTAATTCATCTTTCTCTCTGCCTCGTGCATCACCAAGGTGGCCAAAGGCAGAATAAAAGAGCATTCTTCTTAATCCTATTAGGTTCTGCCTGGGTCCTGAACCCATGAGACTTTGTAGAGCTTTGGGTGGGAATACGCCTCCATTCACATCTTACTTGGCAGCCAGATTTCATTATTAGTCAGCAGTTTTTATGTTTTTTTGTATGTGAGATAGCTGACGCCCAGGGCTCTTCTTTGCTCAGTAGTCAACCATGCTGCAAGGGATCAGTGTATGTGTACATATGCATGGGAAGTGTGTGTCTGCATTCTGGTCTGTCTGGCTATAAACAAAAGCAACCTGACCATGCACTCACCTGGAGAAAAGAGTTTGCGTGTCTGTGTCTGAAAAGACCAAAATAGCCAGGATTTATGTTGTTCAGTGTGATGCTGAAAACCCCTGCATGGTTAACATTTTCGGTAAAGGAACATTTTGCCTGTGAAATAAAAAAGATGAAAAGCCCTTACATGCAAGCTAGCGAAGGGACTGAGGCCTTAAAGTGTTACTAAACCCACAACAGTAAAATCAGTCTGTATATGCAGTAAAGCATCCTTGGTATACTCACTGTGGAACCTGAGGGGTTAATCCTCTGCATTGTGTAAAAAGGCTGTTTGATCCAGTCTTCTCTGTTCCTCCCCTTTTTCAAACGACCACCTCTTATCTCCTTATAGGCATTTTGCACATGCTCAGTTTAGTGTATATTGCTAGAGAGGTTTTTAGAATGTCTTTAATTAGGCTTAAAGTGTTACTAAACCCACAAAGGTAAAGCATGCTGTTGTATACGCAGTAAAGCATGCTTGTCATACTCACTGTGGATCCTAAGGGGTTAATCCTATGCATTATATAAAAAGGCCGTTTGATTCTGTCTTCTCTGATCCTCCCCTTCTTCTACTGTCCCCAATCCTTTTCCTGATAGAACAGAGCCTTGGGGGCAAGCTGCACATGCTCAGTTTGGTGTTGCTAGATTTTTTTTTTGTTTTCATTGGGAGAGTGCATGTGATCAGCACAGGGCCAATCACCACTGGTAAGACAGAGGTTAGGGGTTTTGCATCCTCCAGAAGCAGAAAGAAAACTCCTGCTGCAAGCTTTAGCTAGTGTTTGGCTGAACACTGATAGAAGCCACAAGACCGCTCTAACTTCTGATCAGAAAAGGTGTTTAACAGTTTATATTTACTAGAATAATTGCATTTCAATCTTCTGTGTACTGTGTACTGTGGGAAACCAGATATAATGAATGCAGGGTCCTGGGATTAGTAACACTTTAATGCTGTATGTGCAAACTTGAAAAATCCCACTAACGATACACGCATATTATGTTTTGGCTACATATCATAATACACCTTATTTCAGTACAGAGACTAATACTAGAAAATAAAAAGAGAACTGCTACTTCACAAATACATGTCAGACCTATAACTTAAGGTAAAATGATATTCAATAGAAAAATTTCCCATAGACATTAAAAATAAATACATACTGTAGCTTTTTTTGATCAAATCTGATTTTTTTTCAGGTAATAACACACTCATTGCTGTGTTCTGTATAGGAATGTTTCTATATATGGCTATCAATACTGATTAAAGCTAGTTCTCTTTTTTTTTGCCAATTTTAAGCTTACTGACACTTGAATTGACCTAAAGTACTCCTATGATGATTGAGATAAAGTGTAGATAGAATGGTATATCACGTTATCTTTAGTTACTAAATAACATACAGTATATAATATGCGTCAGAGAATATTGGTTTATTTTATAGCCTACAGAAGATAAAACGATCCACCTGTATGAAGCATTTCTAACACTTACATTGTGAAGGCATTTACAGGGAAAAAAATACTCTTAGCATGCAAGTTTTTAATAAAAGTCATAAATCTTGTATATTTGAAACTTCCTCTATTTGCATAGTTATCAGAAAACTTATATTGTTTTTAACTTTGCTGCAAACCATATTATCCAATTGTGTTCTGATTATGTTGAGCATCACTCCGTATTTCTCCCTAATTTTTCTTACCCTGGTCTACCTGTACAGGTTGTATGCCATGTCTCCACCCTCTCCACACGTGTCTTCTTTTTTTCTGTTCTTTGCCTGTGGTTATTTAGAGGCTGTTCTCGCCAGTCAGTGCTGGTGCATCTTCTGAGCTTAGCCTGAGTTTGTTTAGTCATTTCTTACTTGGCTATCCCCTGTATGTTCTCACGTTGAGCTTTGCCTTTTGATTTTCAGCATCTTTTAATCGTTCTTGTTTGGCTTTTAAACTCTAATACAGTGCATCTGGACTAGTGCTGCTTATTTGCACCTTGTATAGTAAGAAGGCACCAATTCAGCTAGTTAGTTGTTTTCTAACATGGTGCTGGCCCTGCCTGTCTTGGGCTATGTCTGTGGCTAATCTTGTATTTTGTTCCTGATCATATTTCATCTTTCTCCTGGTGATGACTGTTCAAATTCTGAGATTCCTGCTTCTTGTTAACCTGATATCTGTCTGTTACCTGTCATCAGTGGGGCAGTCCTGAGGTCCACAACCTTGGAGTTGCGGCAAATTCCCTTTCACCTTTCTGCAGCTAAGGCAAAGACATTGCTTAGAATTTGTGCTATGGGGAGATCCTAGTTCTAGATAGAAACACAGGTAGGCCAAGGAGACAATGTATAGGGACCCTGAAAGAAGTACAGTGACCTTTGACGCAACATGTCGGTTGGAGGCTGAAGAAGTCACGTGACCTTTGACGCAACATGTCAGGTGGAGGCTAGTGATGTCACTCCCAGTCATGCTCAAACTGGCACAAGTGATGTGACAAACCATTTTGATTGATGGCTATGATATGCTATTGATTCATTACTTTTGTGAGTGCAGTTTTTACTTGAATAAAGTGTTCATACTTTATGGGGTTGCACTATGATCTATTCCCTTTATCTTTGATCACATACACCTTAATTCCACTGAATATCTGAGAGCATGTTCCCTTAAAGAGCCAGAACTAATGAAGTAGCTACTATCCACTCGGCAGTGGATAAGCAGAATCTGGTTTCATCCCTAAGCGTTCATGACCTATCCATTAGGTCAGGGAAGAAGGTGAGTGCATGGTGCACCTACCTGGTGATGGGAAACACCGCAATATAGTCGGCACAGTGGAGTAATGCATATATGTTCACCATAATTTGGAGTCACATATAATTTTCCTAATGTGAGTGGATACTGTAACATGTTCAATTTTGGTTATACAAAACGGTGTTGCACTATGGTATGTTTTTTGCTTTATTTTGCATGGTTCTGGAGTTTAAAGAAGCATAATACGTGGAAGGAACACATCACAAATCAGAAATTTGGAGACACATTTTCCTTTAAAGCGTGTTTTTGGCCTATTATAATTTATAGGTCATTGGTCAAGGTAAGCAGGGAGTGGGGTCACAAGTCAAGCACAGTGTTGATTATGGCTGGATGATAACGCACCATATACTGGATTGGACAGTGGTTTAGACATTAATGGCTGTGTGTTGAGTTATTTTGAGGGGACAGCAAATTTACACTGTTATACAAGCTGTACACTCACTACTTTACATTGTAGCAAAGTGTCATTTCTTCAGTGTTGTCACATGAAAAGATATAAGAAACTATTTACAAAAATGTGAGGGGTGTACTCACTTCTGTGAGATACTGTATATCTGCATTTTCCATGTGATACTCCTTGCTCTTTGTGGACTCTCTTAGATTGCGGTACTGCAATTTCTTATAGTGAGCATCATGTAGATTCTTACACCCAATAGGAAGTTTTTCCTTTTTTAGAAATTGGGGCCTTGTTCCTATGTTTTATTTTCTATTGTTACCTAACAATATATGCACTTATTGGTTTTCCCACTAATATTACTCTTAAAGGTCCATGCGGCTTGATCGGATGCACATTTTTGAAGATTAAAATCTACATGCACTCTGGTTCATCTGTATAGATGGAGCAATTCCTTGGAAATATTCAAATGCTCACAACTATAAGGGTGGGTTTACTCCATAGGTGATATAATGGTTTTCTCCATTATTTGAATTTCCTTTGGAGATGTTTTTTACTATCTAAGCCCTCTCTTGCAGTGATTTGGGTGGTCCTTGTTTTCCGTTTGGGAGGGTCACAGGTATCCGAGGCCTGCAGGCGCTTTGGCTGGGAGGTGACAGCAAACTAGAGCCTTGCTTTTAAGTTCGGTTGAAGGATTTATCTGTTTGTCTTTTTACTCCTGTTTTGAGTATATTTATATACTTGGAACTATGTAAATACTCTATATGGACATAGATTGTGTGTTCTAAACAAATGTATTTTTAATATCACAGACTATATCATCTTTGTGCAGAGTCTTCCCTGAGTAGTATTACCCCGAAACGCGTTGGATTGTTATAAGACTATTTCTGTAACCAAACAATATCTTTTGATGGTGATGTTAAGTTACACTATGATTTCTTGGAAAATAGTTTGTCAAGCTCTATCTTTTATATGTGTGAAAATTTGATGGAAAATAAAGATTTCATATATTTTTAAGTTTATGTATTTATGCCTTAAAAGTCCCATCTGATTTGGGGGGTCCCTTTTCTATGTTTGTATAAACAACACATAATGCGGTGTCCCAACTCTTATCCCACTAAGAGAAAGGGAGAGAGTGTTGGAAGGCTAGTTTCATTTTTTTGTTATATGAATGTTGGTCTCCTGAAATCTGAATCTGAAAGCGGAATCTTTTTTTTTAAGCATTTTATATAAGGCTGTGATTATATGGGTTTGGGAGGGACCCTGTGTGCATATTGTTTCAAAAGTTGTGGGGCGCTCCAGTGTGAGATTTTTTTCAAGTAGAAAAGTAATGTTTAATTTGTAAATAAAATAAAAATATGTTTTTAAGTAGGTCTTTATTGTTCACAAATTTCTGTACTCTGCAAATTATGGGGTGCATCATATGTCAACACTGAAACACTTTTCTTTCTGCCCATGATATCATCTGAGGAATAGAAAGGCTATCTAGGATTGCTGGATTATGTAAAACATTAGTTGGAGAGGAACAAGGGGAGGAAAGGGAGAATGTCTGCTTACATCAGTTCCAAATCATCACAGTAAATTGCATGGGAACCAAAAGGGAATTTCTTAATTGCCTACTCAACTTCTCTGTATTAGGCCACCCAAAGAAACTAGGATGGATTGGGTAAATCAGCCCATGTTCAATCTCCTTTCAAGTGTTATGGGCCATCTGTACTGTTCAGGAGGCTATATGAAAAAGATGCATGGAGCAGTAACATTTAATCAGATCAGGAGCTGCGAGACCTCCTTTCATTTTCATTGTAAACAAAACAGTGCTAGGTATTATAAGTGTTTTATAATTCCATATAAATTTAGTAAATGTTCTCTGGAGATTATGCAGTTGAGACATAGGGACTGGGTCATGTTGGGTCTCCAAAAAAATATAATAGTTTAGGTAAGATGGACATTTAATGCGGCACAGAAAGGATAGGTTCTAGGTGGTCCATTTTTTTTTTTAGTAATTTATAGATCTCTTGAATTAAAAGAAGAAAGTTCACTTGACAAAAGGGGTAGAGACCTGTTTCTTTCAGCCATGGACCCTGTGACCAGCATTGTGAAGAGTGAAAAAAGTGGGTAGCTCTAAAAAGAAACATGCAAGCTACCAGTGGCATTGCTAGGGTTGGTGTCACCTGGTGCTGTAAAATATGGTGGTCGGATATCACTTCCTACATGATGGTGTCACACAGGGCTGCTGTTAGAAATCATGGGGCCCCATACAGCCTACCTGACTGCCCCCCTCAATTTTCCCAGTTTTTAAAAAAATATTTTTCTACTTTTTATAATTTTTTTTTTTTTTTAATTTTAAAAATTATGTTTCACAATTTATTTTTTAGCCTTTTTAAGTGTACCTCCTCCCTTGGTCACTTGATAAACTCCCACGGCTTCAATTACCATCTCTTTGCTGATGACAAGAGATGTCCCCTTCAGTCTCCACCCGCATCGCTAGCCTACTAAGTGACA